CCCTTTCTTTTTTAATAATGGTTTCCTAGATTGGGTTAATTGGGAAATGATATATTAATTAAGAAGAGCGGGTTCTGATAGCTCACAAAATGATTGGTTAATTTAATATAGAATTTTCTAATTGGTAGTTTAACGAAAAGACTCTTAGGCATCGGCTAATGTAAGTGAATGTGTGTCACTAACGTACCGTGTGCTTACGGGACCCTCGTTGAGAATATATAGTGAAAAATTTTGGGTTAAATTTACCATATTTCACATATTCCAAACAGTTTTACTCAAATTTTTGTGTTAATTTAACACAGATAAATATGTCAAGTAGTAAAGTGAAATGACAGAGATATATTTACTGTCAATACTGCAAATCTATAATATACACGAAGTGAACTTTAAATTTGCGATATTATCAGTGAATATCGGAAACACACATTTCTTGGAATAATGCAGCCAGTGCAGGAACAAAACACAAAAACAAACCTTCTATTATATCTTCCTACAATACATTTTAACATCGACAATATTCAACGACACTAAAAAATCCATGCTTTGCTCCTAAAGGACCGTAAATTTTTCCTCTGATTAGAACAAAGGTTAGACCAAGGAAATCTTGCTTAACATTGTTCTTTTTCGCTTCTCGTGTTAGCTTTGCACAACCACTCGTACATCCATTAATTTTTGCCTAATATTGTGTATTTGTAACTTTTCATTCATTACTGTCGTGCAATTGCAATCACTTTATTGCTGCAAAATCGTCATTACTGCTAAATATAACTCAAGGAATGCTTATCTATGCGAATGCATATATTATTTCAACAGCTCATTTCTATAGGAACTGATATATTGATATACTGATATATTACAATATTATCTACGTTATATCATAGTTTTATAATAAATGTATGTAATGATATTTCGTACAGCTAATGACCACTCTTAAGTTTCTTTTCTTCCTCTATCTTCTTCTTTTCTTCCGGATACTTTTTCATGTACCACTCTATGTACTCATCCTTCATTTGTTCACGACGTGCAAAGTACTTTGGATACATGGCTTTTTCTAGAGGGTGCCAATAATCCAAGATCCAATCTGGAATCAGGGCTTCTCTATTGTATGCAGTTCCTCCAGGCGAATCGGCAAATATGATTGGTTGAGGATGCTGTTTAGAAAAGAGTTCTTTCTCTCCTTCGATCAGCAAATGATTTGCGTAACGCATGTCCTTTATATCTTTGTTCTTATCGAAGCGTTCTCTCATTAAAACAGCTTGGAACCTATGGAAAGATCGTAAGTACATTATAATCGCATAAATTGTCAACTATATTTGTGTTTTTCAAAATTGTGACCGGAATCTTAAAATTATATCAAATGTTTTCTACAAATAGGAACTGCTGTTAGTTTGCTATTCATTTTATTTTGTAGTTTCCGTTTTACTCTGCAATACTTGTGCCACTATTTCGTATACTGATGTCTGTCGGTTTCATAAGCGCTGTTGCGTAGATATAATCGTATTTATAAATTAGCTGTGCAACGATATATCGACAATTGTCGGTAAACGTGTATGTACGGAATACAGTCTTCGAGGTGCTATTCTGTACTTGTCTACCGACAGTTGTCAATAGGCAGTTACAGAATACAGCCCCTGAACGTGCAGTCGTGTTTCACTTGAAATGAAGAAAGTGCCACCAGAACAAATAGGCCTACTTATTTGCTGTCAGCTGATATACCTATACGTACCTGAAGTCGTGCGTTCTGTAATACCAATCCGCCAGACAACGCAAAGAGCGTTTATACAGTCTACAAACTTTTTGCGAATGTGATACCAATTCCGAGGGAATGTGAGCCATTGTTTTTTATTTAAGGATTGCAATTCTCCTTCAAAAATCCTCGATTACATGAGCGTAGCAAACCACAAATTACTCAACACTGTACTACATGTAGAGAGTCTTTCAAATATTCAACAGCAGACGACTCAGCTGACCTCTTGTGAGTAAAATTCAAAATAAGAACCAATTCTCATCTTCTCAGGCTACATTCGGAAACATAAGACTGTAGATAAGGTGACATTAAATTGATCAATTAATTGTCACTCTACCCTCAATGTAGTGTTTCCGAACCAAGCAGTCTTAAGCCCGTATCAAACTACGGATTAGGGATTGAGATTGAATTGTATTTGGCCAATCAGTATAAAGTTAACTGAACTCAAGTTTAGTGAAATTTAGTGAACTTTGCACTGATTGGTCAAAAATTTTCAATTCAATCTCAATCTCCAATCTAGAGTCTAATACGAGCTTTACAAGATTTCTAGGTAGCGACACGCAATTTTTCTCTAGGACGGAAACTTGAAAAGTGAACATTCTCAAATGTTTTTAACACGTTGACTGCCAACTACGAGATATCTCGTAGGTTGTTTACTTGCCCAGGACGCCAACTATGAGTTATCTCGTCGCTTCATTACTTGATTAAATCAAATTGGCTTCTTAGACCAGAATCGTGAAAAGTTCCGTGGCAGTCAACGTGTTAAATTGGAAAATTTCTATTTTCCATAAGTTCATACTAGAGCAAATGATTGACGATCATCAACTCCCAGCAGGACATGGATGTCTTTTTGTAGCGTAAACGTTCTTGAATAGTGAAAATTCTGCAATTTGCGAACACTTGGAAATGTTCATTTGTTCATATTTTCGTCCTAGAGAAAAATTACATAATCATCACCTTCTCGACTAAAATAAAAGAAAAATTGACCAATAAGTGCATATTATATTGCAAGATGTTTTCGAAACTGAAAGAAGAGGGGCATCACTATAAGAAGTCACTAGAAAAAACAAAATATAAATAAACAATCATGATTTGCCTAAAATAATAAATTCAGAAAAACAAACACTCGCGGATCCAGGAACGGGATATGGATATCGAAGTAAACTAATTACATGGTTCACTCAGTGCTTGATAAAGAGCAAAAGTCAAATAAGTAGTTGGTATTTTGAACAGAACGCGCCAATAAAACTAGACTTCCGGGGCCATGGGGCGAGATTGCGACGGAAATGCGCGGCGGCGACGGACGAATGATGGCGACGCTGAAATAACAATCGCCGTCGTGTATATTGCCGTTGGTATCTTTCATTGGAGCCCCTCGATCATCGAGCGATTTTCGCGGATTTGCGAGGTGCATAATACTTGTAACCGGTTTGTTGGCCAGTTGGCGTCCGTTTTTCACGTCCAATCTGTAACTGTCATAATTATGTCCGCGCGCGCAATCACGCCGTGGCGATTTATACACATTGAAATGCAGCGGAATAACGCGGTCTGATCAACACTGGCGTTTTGAAAAGCGGAATATATCACGTTGTCGTGTCCAACGCGTCGGGCTTTAATTCAACGGCGGGAATATGAAAACAGTCACGGAACGATTGTGGAACGTGTACGATATACATGCGAAATACTATGTCGATCGCTTATTAATGATATTCTCGAATTTTTTCGGCAGGTTAAAATTCGCCGCCGCGATTAACTCAAGATGATGTCGACGATGCCACCCGACTCGCACAAGATTTCACTAAACATCATTGAGGCGATCAAGCAACATCCTGTGTTATACAGCGCCGAGGTGAGAGGCCCACCTGTCAAATTGCAAGAATTCAGGCAAAAAGTCTGGAAACGCATCTCGGATGAGCTCGGACTCGATCGTACGTCCTTTACAAGTTTGTTCTGTTTATGAATATTTGACCTGAGATTAAGATGTACTATTATTTATTTCCGCTACTTTCCACTTTTCTCCCTTCTTTCCTCCTTTAGTGATTTTTAGTTTTTACAGTTATTGATTTCAACATTTAATTATATTATATTAATATTTATCTTATCCATGATTTTTTTGTATTTTATGTAATTATGTTCCATTTTCTACCATATGTTGTAAGTTATTGTTTATATATTGCTATTTAATAAATATGCAACTGTAACTTGATATTGTTTATTACAGCAAGTTGGGTGAGATTAAAATGGAAAAACCTTAGGGATACCTATTGTCGTATTTTAAAATATAAAACTAAAACAGAAGAGGGTGTAAGAAGGAAAAAATGGATTTTTGAGGATCATTTAAGTTTTTTGAAATTTCCGTAAGAAATATTCCTTATCACAATACAATTGTCCTATGTACCTTAAGTTTCATTCTTTTAGTCAAGTATATCATTACAGACATGAATTGGATTATCAACCACAATGTGTAGAATTGACTGAAGAGTATATACAAGATATAAATGCAGGTGGAATAAGTTCTGAAGGTTTACTGGAACAATTAGAGGATCGTAATGATGAAGATTACAGCGAATACTTGGAAGTTCTCGACGAAACACCAACAGATCCGGTCTTGGTAGAATCTGGAACTGCAGAAACATCCAGGAGTGATGAACCACAACAACTAGCTACACACGAAATAGCAATCAACTTGCAAGAGTCTCCACAACGGGATATCGACAGTTATGCTCAGGAGATAGAGTCCAAGTACCGAAAAATACGCCCAAAACGATTGAAGTCCAGTGCGTCTGTTTCGAATGCATCTAACACTTACAGTATACTGAAGACCAACAATACGAATATGCTCCTCGATACCAGCACATTGTCTAATCCCGTTGCTATGACAAGTTCCATTCTAACACCAAGTGCGCTGGCTGCTTCTACGTCTACGAACGAACCGAGTGATTCGAAGGACGATGTGGATAATGAACAAGTACATCCGATGTCTGAAAGTAAAAGCAGTTTAGAATTATTTTTTGCCAGCATGGCACAAACTGTGAAGAAGTTACCACCTAAGGCACGAGCCGATATCAAGATGAATATCTGCAGAATAGTAACGGAGGCGGAAATGCGATATTCTAAACAGGTTGTCAAGGCGCAAACTACGCAACAATTCATCACACCACCTGGTATGATACCGAAACTAGTATTGATACCTTGCAACAAGTTAGATAATCAAAACATTAAGAACTGAATCTGACAAGAATCGCAATTCAATTGGTTGAACAATAAAGACTTATCAGACTTAATAATAGTGCAAAGTAATGTAATCGTCTGTCCGGATAATGAAAATAGTGAGCGTTCCTGCCGTTTTTGTCCTTTGAATTTTTCACATTTAGCACATGGAAGTTTATGAGATGTTGCGATAGAAATAAATGGAGTTTTAAATTGCCTTGTATAATGTATCAATCGTCTTGGTAATGCAAATATAAATATTTTTCTTCCCTTTTTTTTTAATAATACATATAAAAGTAAACGGAAATGTTTAAAACATATTTATATAAAAAATAGAGCTCAATTAAGCATTTAATTCTACTAGATTTATGATTGAGCGACTGTGATTAGGAGAGATCAGATAAATCTGGAATTCTAACAATGCGTAAACAACACGTTACATCAATATCATTCGCGCGAAAATTTAAGCGAATTTTCACGAATTTTTGCACTCCATTTGTATTTACCATTATATATATACACGTAAGATATTGAATTATGATGTTTAAATGAACCATAGTTATATAAAACTATTAAGAATGTTAGAAAATCGTTACGTTCTCTCTTTGTTTCTTAGTTTATCAGACTAACGAAGGACGCAAAATACATCGTTGCGTAAAAAGCATACAACGAAATGATAAATGATAGCTGGTTATTTTAATTGAATGTTGTAACATCTTAATGCCTGTTAAGTTAGCTCTTCCATCATTGAAAATTAAGTTGCAATATATATGAAAATTAAATGCTAATTAGGTGCTAATTTGGTGCTAAAAAGAAAAATTTGGTTCTCGAGGTTTGGCGGGAAGTGGGGAAAATATCAGGGGGCGAGAAGCTAGCTTAATGTTAACCTAGCTCTTCCCTAATTGAAAAAAAAAAACAACCGAAAAGATAATCGCAAAAACAAATAGGCTAAAATTAAGTGCTAATTTAGTACTTCAAGAATATAATAAGAAATATCATGAAAACAAAACAACTGTTTATTGGGAAGAAACTAACCAAGGATTGTATCATTATGTTCGATGTACAAGACAACTTGAAACATTAGGTGTACGCTCAATATTGGTGTCAAATTGTTCGTCTTGTTATATATTTTCTAAATATGTAATCACTGAACTAGGTGCTCGTTCCTTTTTGCAGAATTTTGCAATAGAAGTTAGTAATCCGTATAGGCGTTCAAGTGTAACTCTGCGAAAAAATTAGGTGCTCTCATGATATAAGTATCAAATTGTTCGTCTTTTTATATACTTTCCAGATATCTTTTTTTTTTAAGTTGGGGAATATCCTTCATGGATACCCGCGGAACTCAGGGTTATGCAGGGCTTCTACCGGCTAAAAACCTCATGCCTTTTTATGCGTTATAGAGAGGCATCACTAACCGTATTCTTCTGTGCCCCCCCCCCCTCCCCTTCCTTGTGTGCAAGGCAAATTCGCTCTATCCAACCTTAGAGAATTAATCCCCCGGGGCTAGAAGTTAAACCAACCCGTCGGCGGGTGTGGATCCTTGATTTGACCTGTAGAGTAAGAGTGACCTAATACACTCCGATACCCTTAACAATATATCGCGTGCTATATATTTGAATATAAATCTTAGAAAATTTGTTTAATTTATTGCCATTCGTATATGTACAATAATCAGTTACTTAAATTCACTTCCACTTGCTGTTTTGCCGTAGTAGATTTATTTTTACTATTTTTGTTTTGATTTTCCACCTTCCTCGAGTCTTCCATTTTATTTTCAAAATCTACTCTAGTTCTAGCACGAATACCAGGCCCCCAATTTACAGTAGGGTTTTGTTGAAAGCGAGACAGATGTTTTTGCCGAGAAATTGGATTTGCGAGAGGATGTATATCGAGTGAAATGTCTGTTGTAGACGATGCATTGAGTATTCGCTCAGCCGGACTATTTGCTGCCAGCTTCTCCCTTTTTACAGGATGCTTTTTTTCCCAAGCGCGTACGACGTCCCATATCACGTTGTTTGGTGCGTCTGTCTTGATCGAGACTTTACTTGCGTGCGAATATGACACTTTATATCCTGCATTTAATAATGCCGATCTGAACAATAACATCGGTGGTACGTGGCATTTAACTATGGACATTAAGCGATCTAGACTGTAATATAAAGGAATATCCAGTTCTTCATGTATCATAGTCAAAACACCCTCCATTCTTCTCAGCGTGCCCAGTTCCATGCTACTGAGATTGTACAATAGTCGCGATATAAACGCTTGATCGTGCAAAGGACCTAACCATATTGGGCCTCCCATATGCTGATAATGACGGCAATGTTCACATAATTGGTCCACTAAAGGTGCACACGGTAATTTGTAATTACTGGAAGGTTTCTTTGTTACTAACGTTTGAAACTTGATACTCTCGCACCCTGTACATTGATACAACATTCCTATCTTAGTAGAGTTTTCCTTACACTTATCATGACTCGTAAAGACTTTGACAAATACTCTGATATAAAAATCAACGCTCACAGATAATAACGGTATTATATATCGTCCGTAACGTCCTGCGTAAGAAGCAATGCATTGCAGCAATATTCTCAATGCTATTTCGTGGCAAGATTTCGATTTTATGGATATTGCTCCATACTTATAGTAACAAGTTTCCGGAACGTTGCCAGCTAATACAGCCACATCAGTAGCTGTGATCAAAAGTATACCACCATCGGATACACACTGCACTGCTCCATCCAGGTATATGGAAGGACAACCATACGGATCCAAATCGACGGCATCGAAGCGATCTCGTCTGTGTTGATACATCAATAACATGGCGTCCTCGTGAGAAGGAGTTACCAAATTTTCAACTTCATTATGTAAAATATTTCGTCTGATACTTTCTACTGCCTTTGCAGAAATATCATTGGCCACAATCTGTTGGACATTCTCTATTTCCTTAGCATACCGTATACTTCGCAAACCAGTTGCAGATAGAGCCTCTAATATAGTAATACCCTTTTGACTCTCCTTATTTACTTCTATATTGTGTAATATATTAGTTTCGTTGTTTCTCTCTTTTTTTAGTTTATCCTTTTGTAACATTTCATTCCACCTGTCTTTTGCAAATATTGTTAATACAGCTATACTAAGATCTCGGTTGAACTCTTGAACTGGATTGTAGAATACATTCTGAGTTGTAACTAATATTTGTGCTTTCCCTTCACTTATAACGGGAATTTCATCAAGTTTGAGTTTCTTCGCACATTGTTCATTCTCCATGCTTCTTGTATGAATTAATGCTGAAATAAAAACAAATATATGTATACATGTAACATAATATAGGGAATTTATTTCGGAAATAGATTAAGCATTTAAAAACAATAAAAAAAAGTTTATTTAAATATATGTTTGATTTGACTTTATTCCTAAGTTACAACTACGGTATAATTTTTTGAGCAAGTGAAGGTAATGACTGGTTTATAATAACTGATTTCACTTATTCATATATAAATAATGTTGAATATTTCATATGCGCAATTGATACACAAAAATTTTTACACAAAAATATCAGGATAAAATATAAAATATCTTGTAAAGCATTTATCTTTCAATAACTTTAATACTTTTGTACATAGAATAAAAAGATTTGTTTAATGATATTAATCATCATATACAAATGTATCAATGCAATTGAAAATAGCGAGAGTTTTTGAAATATTTTTTTCATCAATCATACACGAGATACAAAATATTATTTGTAAAAAAGAAATTTTTCGCATTAATAAAATTAATTATAATATTACTGTAATTTGACAAAAAATGATATTGAAACATAAGACTAAAAAGCTACAATTTAGAAATAAAACCAAAATGAATATATGTTTATAAAAACGTATATACTTTCTTACTTGCTTGTTAAAATTGATTCCTGAAAGCTCTAAAGTCTTATCTATATGCCATTTATCAATATTTCAACTGTCTGTTTCTAATTTGCACACTGTCAAAGCTAGTATATAATCAGAAAAAAACCAACAGTTTGCTAATGAAAACAATCAAAAGGGCTATGTATGCCTGTCTTGACTGCTGAACAAAAACTATATATTTATATAAAATTGATTGTTCCTAAACATTATAGAAATACTTATAAAAATTCCATAGTAAGAAAAAATTTACCTTTGGAAGTACGTCGAGAATAGTTTAATATCTTATATAACGTTGTGTAACATAAATACGTTTTCATCAATGCTTTGCATTAAAAAAATGTGAACGTTAAACTATGCTTGTGACAACATTTCTGTCATTTATGCATTAATTAAAATATGTTTAGAAATATTATACTTATTATACTACAGTCGTGTTCGTTTTAAAGATACATATTTAGATAAATATTTCCTCACAGTAATGTTATGAAGGTTATGTGTTAACTTCAATTTCTTTACAGTGGTGGGTGACTTGAATCCCTTAGCCAACCTTCAGGCATAATCTCAACTCCATAAACTCTGCGAAATAAATTAAGCAGAAATACCAACTTTACGTATTAAGGAGAATTCACATCTTGACAGAAAAGCAGAAAATAGAAAAGTAACAGCCAATCAGAACTCACGTTGGTAATCGACAGTTCCTGTTTTATCTATTGCTTACTATCAGCGTGAGTTCTGATTAGATGTTGCTTTTCTGTGTCAATTTCTTTTTTGTTCATTATCTTCCGAGATATTCTGGGGTTCCGGTACTTTTTATGGTATTCTATATATGAGAGGTATATGATCTAGTGTATTATATAGAAGGCTGTGCTTTTAAATCATAGGATTTCATAGGGTGCGTACGTTCCAATATTACTATCAGTGATTTTATCACAAATCTTTTTAAAGCCTCCGCACAAAAACATCTAGCGTTAAATTACGTTATGTTAAATACTGTCCTTAAACGTGGCCTGTAATTCATAAACTTAAGTCAATGCATAAAGAAAAACGTAACGTAGGTGTGCTTACATCAGGGACATATAACCTATCCATCTATAAAGTCATATCAAATATATGTTGAATCACTTTTCTTTGTTCTTAATAATATATAATAATTCTATAATAATAATTCTACAATAATAATTTGAAAACATTGCAGAAAACTGAATTTTAGTAGTTATATGTGAATAACATATTGAGAAATGATATTGAAATTATTAAATTATTATTTGAGAAAAAGAACCTACACGGAGCAAAAACATCTAATACACGTCCATGAGATATCCAACATGGAGATTCAAACCTCCATTAGATGTCCATATAATGTTTATGGGACCTTTACTGAACATCCACATGTCCGTTTATTACAGGATATGTCAAAAGTTCCGGAACGGCTAATTATTAAAAAAAAATGTTTGCAACAAAAGTTGTAGGACTTAAAAAAAGCTATTAAACATTGACAATTGTTTGGCCTTAGAATGATCTTGAAAAGCGTTATTAAGGTCAACATCAAAATCTTAAGCAGAACTCCCTATTTTTCGATACATTTTCTTATAGCTGACGTTGAGACCTTTTCCGAAACACTGGTTACACACCTTTTTCCGCATGCACTTTCCGAATTGGGGGGCTTGAAAGCTGCAATACCGCCAACATTAACATTATCCAAGGTGTACCGCGTGGAGATTGCACGGTCGGATTTACATCGGTTGCGTGTGTGTGTGTTAGCAGATATTGGGACATACACGCACACAGCAGAGAGGATTTGGAATTATTAAATATTATGGGAATGGCGCGCTATAGGGTCCTAATTTCTGCTGGCACACACACACACACATACATACACACCCATTACAGGTGTAAATCCAATCGTGCAACCTCCACGCGGTACACCTTGGGTAATGCTAATGCCGGCGGTATTGCAATTTTCAAGCCCCATAACTCGGAAAGTTTTTATGGAAAAAAGGTGTGTAAGCAGTGATTCGGAAACTTCTCAACGTCAGTTATAAGAATATGTAACTAACAATAGGGGGTTCCACTTAAGATTTTTATGTCGACCTTAATAACGCCTTTCAAGGTCATTCTAAGGCCAAACAATTGTCAATGTTTGATAGCTTTTTTTAAGTCCTGCAACTTTTGTTCCAAACATTTTTTTAAAATCATTATTTTTTGAAATAATTAGCCGTTCCGGAACTTTTGGCAATCCCTATACAAAAAAACAAGTATTAGCACTAAATTTATAAAATCATACAAAAAAGTCACGCAAAGACATACCTAATTAGCGAAAAATCATTACTACGATGTTATTACAACGATATTTAATAACATATAACATTTTAAAACATATCGTATTTGTAATGTTGTGAACAACATCATTATGAAGAAACTTTGACACTGATTTGGAGATTTCGATAATATTGAAGTGAATGTCGTAACGTTATAGAAAACATTGCGCTAAAGTTTTTCTATCATTTTCATAATGTTTTTGAAATGATACTGGTGAATACCGCTCCCCTATTCTTGAAATGGTTGCGTACACGTGTTATTACGCAGCTATTTTATAATACAATTATATCTACGTAAAGACATATATACGTAACTATTTCAAAAATAGAAGCCCTGGTAGTAGTAGTCTTACTACTTACTGACTAGTTAAAGCCACACATAAATTAAGTTCGTCTTACATGCTTTCATGCTGATAGTATTACTCTGTCTTTATTGCTAATTGCACGCCGAAAGAAGATAGAATGATGATTTTGGCAGGAAAGCATGTAAAAAGAACTTAGCCATAAGAACATACAGTTGCTGATTATTCGACAACCTATCCGATAATAGGTTTCTATTTCTCACCTAAGTCATCACACAGCCGATTTCTTGTTATTACGGATAGAAATTTTAACACATTAAAACAATATAAAAAATAATATTATAACAACAGAAAATAAATATATTACTAACGTTATTTCTAAGTCCAAATTATAAATAATTTTGAACTGTTGCATTGATCTCAAATAAATATCAAAGTAACATTTAAAAATATTGTCTGTAATGTTTTTAAAATGTTTTAACAATATTCAGGAAAATTATATTACGAAATAATATTTTTTAAAAATATATATAACATTATTAAGAAATGTTCAAAAAATATACGTAAAGTCAATATTTCTAAATGTTAATTTAATGTTCCTTGTTTACTGGATATTTATCTTGAAGTTTTTTTTATTTCAATTTATGTGTTTGACACGGTAAATATTAATGCTGTACATGTTCGTAAAAAAGAACTAAATAATTCGTATTAAGTAAATTTTAGAAAAATTTATAGATGAAAGTAGCAACAATTTTGAAATATTCTTCGCACGATGTGAAACTGAAACTTGAAGATATGTATTTGACATAGGTGGGGATACTATTCGTGATGATGATGAGAAGTGGCGTAGTTTCACTGTCAACTTCGCTCTAGCTGGAGTCGTGAATATGAACGGGATTCACATTGGACTTAGAGAAAACTTAGTCATTTAAACATTCCATTTACGTGAAAAAAGGTAAGTGCCATACATATAAAGGACGATTGGTGAAAAGCTAAGATTAATCCATCCTCAAATTAGATGAAGATTGCTCTACTATCAAAGATTAGTGGTTAAATCTCTAGAATAAGTCTTTATCGAAATATTTGTATTTACAAGATTGCGATTGCGATTGTAAACGCAACGTTGAATTGAATTTGATTCGACGTCGAAACGGTTGATGACGTGTTGAGTTGAATGAAAGCTAATTTTGTTAGAATATTGACCAGTGAGTTGTAATATTTCATAATTTATATCATTTATATCATTATTTCAACTGGCTGTTATTGTGATTCTTAATTGTTATCGTTATTATCAGTCAATGATAAAATAATCATGACATCAATGATAAATGCCGAAAAATTTTTGATAACGTTGAATCGACATCGAAAAAACTTTCTATTTTATTTTCTCTGTTTTTGCTTTAGGTGTGTCAAGTCGATAGTGTCTTTAGGTCAGTGACAAAAAGATTTCAACATTTTTTTCTTTCTAAGTTTTGGAATGCAACTTATGTCCAATAGGAAAATTTGTTTCTTAATAATTCTCAAAAGAAGTATTTTTCTATTGGATGCAAGATACGTTGCGAACTCATAAAAAACAAGTTTACAACTTTTTCGTATGTTGTTGACCATAGTAAAGCGTAAGCGAAAAGACTTTTATTTCCATCCTGGAGATAGAAACAAAGAATTCTAATTTGTTCTTTTATGCGTTATGCATTATGTATAAGTTTATGTTCATCGTTTTAAGTAGCAAAGCTAATTGATCAATTATATTTGAAAATTTATGCAGAATAGAAATGCTGTATAAATATATTTCTATCTTCCAATGTTGTTACAAATTATATTTTATTAAAAGTGGGTTTTAACTTGCAGAGCAAATCTTTTATTCTTTTGAAACGTAATTCATTAATTGATTCAACGTTGAAATTATATTGAAATTGCAGTCGAAGACACATCTGTATTTATATGTCTTCGACGTCGAATCGATCTAAATTTTGACATTGGGTTTTTGACATTGATTTCACGTCGAATGAACTATACGTTTCTAACTGGGAACTGCTGTATAAATTTTCTATTTGTTAATATTGTGTTCCTGATACAGTGTACACATTCACGCGTACAATAGATATACAATAACATGACATACAATAATATAAATAAACGCGAATAAATTATAACATTTTTGCAATAATATACAAATAGGTGCGATTATAAGTGAATTAGTGTGCTGAATATTTAGAGATAAAGATGAACAATGTTTCCAGTAAACAAAAAACATCAAATCAATCCTTTGAAACATTAATTTTATGTAGCTTTTATAAACATTTTGATATAGTATATTGTAGAAATATTTTTAAACTGTTACATTTGATAATACAATATTCCTAAATTATAATACAGGAATATTATTTTTAATGTTTAGATCAAATAGTGTTAACAATAATTTGATAAATTGTATACAACATTAAGAATTATATATTTGGAAACGTTATATGTTATAAAGTATAGTTGTAATATCGTTGTGTTATTGATTTCTTGCTTACTGAATTGAAATGGGAAGAAGTAAGAAATATGATATGGTGACTTTTTATCTCCGCTCTAGCGGCAAAAATTAATCGTTCTTTTGAAAGACGCAATTTCAAAGATACGGGAGGGTGACTGCGTGCTTTCTGGGACAAGAAGATCGATAGAATACATGCGCGCTTGGCCACGCTGCGACGCGCACGAGTGGTCTTCCGAAACGCAACGCGAGTTGTTGCATACGTATGTACATGCGAAAATTCATTCGCGGATTTGTGCGTTTCTTGGTGTGAAAGTAATTATTGACGAGCATTATTGACGAACGCTTTCGCGACACGAGTCATCGGATCGTATCTGGCGTATGTGCGACACACATCAATTTCCTCCATGAGCTCGGTACTGACAGAACGTCGCCCGTTGTGCCTGAATTAATTCTTACTCTCTCGCCTATCTCACACAGTGACCTAGAAACGTTAAATTTCACGGTTCGTCATTGCTTCCCCGCTAGCTGGCAGTTTTGGTAAGTTGATGCTTTCGGTCGGTTCACTGAAATAGAATTCAAATAAGAGTCCCTAATAAAAATCCCAACGAAAAATGCCTATACACACGTACGATTCAAGGACATAAGCTTCGAAGGATGCGTTTCTTTTTATTTGTCACATGATCACAATAGCTGATGACTCGATCGGAGCACTACGCTGGCTGGCTACCCAATGACGCTAATTACGTTAACGTACGATGCCTGTAATCTCTATTTATAGGCGTGAAATAACGTTATACCTGCGGCGTTTCCTGCGCAGTATCTTTTGATATTTTGACATTGGCGTCTACATTCTGCGCGTATTACACATTTTAAAAGAAAAGATCAGTAATATTCATTAAATGCATTTAGTTAGAGATTTCGACGGAATATTTGATAACTGTTATAAAATTGTATATTAATTACCAAGTATTTAATGTGTTTACAGTATGAGCGGCTTTTATTTAAAGTTGAATCAACTAAATAAAATAATAATACCCAGATAGCAAAATGTTTTCAATCTGACCTCATTTTGCATTCATAATAATCAAAATGCGAAGATAAGAAGAGATAGAGATGCGTGCGCATATACTGCTCAAACGTCGTTCATGTCGTTGATGTCAAGAAAATATGTAATAACACTCATCATAATCACATCAAGGACGTGCACACATCATTTGTGTATACCTTGTGCTCATGTAACGTTAACCCGGCAATAGTCATCTTTTTTTTACATAAACGACCACCTAAGATCACTTATATTACAAATAAAAATCGTTATTACTAACAAATTATAGCATATTATCAATTGTTCTATGATTTATTATTATTTGGGGTCATTGAAGGTATAGATTCACTCGCTACTTTTTTTTTAATGAAAAAAAAAAAACAAAAAAATATTTAAGAAATGAAATAAATGCATTAAATGTCTTATTATGACAGTACTTCAAATGAATAAAGATATCTATTTAAAAAAACACTTTAATTACCTATATATATATGGTGGGTATATATGGCGGTATATATATATATATATATATATATATATATATGTGGTGGGATAGTATATTTAAAAGTTCGTAAAGAATAATTATTAAAAAAGATAGTGGATATATTAAACATTCCTTTACAAATTAACATTCATTTTATAAGAATATAAAATAAAGTTAAATCACGGTCATACAAAGTTATTAGTATTGATTCAGGATTGTAAAAAATTATTTGTATATTTCTTTATTGTATTATATAAATGTATACATACAACATAAAAAAATATTTTTAAATAAAAATTTTATGATATCATTATACCTGCGTACTTACATATACGCAACTATTTCAAGAATAGAGGCCCTGGTGGGGCCTATCATAATGGCCTTACTATTTACTGACCGACCAATACCCACACATACGTTAAGTTTGTCTTGCATACTTTGGTGTTGAAATATTATACATATTATTCTACTTTTATTGCTCATTGCATGAAAATATTATTCTATTTTTACTGCTCATTGTATGCGAAAGAAGATAGAATGATGCTTTTAGCACGAAAGTATGCAAGACGAATTTATCATAAGAAGATGCTGCCGTTGATTATTGCAGTTATACGATAATAGAGTTGTACTTTTTATCATCATACACACAATTTCTTGAAAAAGCGGACAGCGAAATTCGAAAATATTAGAACAATTCAAAAATAATATTATAACAATAGAACATTGATGTATTTTTTTATTGTATTATATAAATGTATACATAAAACATAAAAAATGTTAACAATGTTATTTCTAAGTTCAAATTATAAATAATTTTGAATTGTTGCATTGACTTCAAATAAATGTCAAATTAACATTTAAAATATATTTTCTTTAATGTTTTTAAAATATTTTAACAACATTCCGAAAAGTCATATTACGAAATAATATTTTTTAAATATATATGTTGTATTATTAAAAACGTTCGAAACATATACATAAAGTCAACATTTCCAAATGTTAATATTCTTTGCTTATTGAGTTTACTTTCGGCAATGAAAACATTTGATATACATTATCAGTTAATAGTTACTCTTTATTCTGTATTTACTGCACAATTTTATTACATTACTGCAAGTCATCCTCGTAAATGAAAAACTCTTAGTAGGCAATGTTATATGCTGCAATATTGCAATCTTGCAGTGCAATATTTCGGTAATGTTTCTGTAATCTTACAGTACTGGGAAACAACGTGTCATTAAACATGTGAAATGAAAAGAATCTATCAACAGTTTTGATACGACAACGCCTAATGTTATTTTGCGGAAACTTTTGGAGCAACCTACGTACATGTTTTTTATTGTTGTGATATACATTTTATACTAGCAATAATACAAATTTCACTGTTTTAGATAGTAAAACATATAAAATTCAATGGGCAGCCAATAAATTTAAGGTTCCTGATTATTCATTATGATCGTGATTATTTAATGATGTCAAAAGCGAAAAAAAACGCATGCCAAGATTTTTTGCATTATACTTTTAAATAAAAAGATATGCAGTCAGGAACCTTAATTTATTCCTTATTATATACAATTGAAAATATAACAAATTTATATTTCAGCAATAACGATGCAAGCGGAAAAGAGTGACACTGAAAAAAATGAAACTGTTAGCAATGTTACGACGGCGTCAATCGTGAATGAAGTGACAAATTTGAAGATAGAAGACGATTCAGCAAGTTCAACGCCGAGTAGTCCTGGCAGTTCTCAGCCAGGTAGCTTTTTAACGAGTTTCAAAGCTTTCTCAAAATTTGGCGATCCAAAAAGCGATGGCAAACTGATTACATTGAGTCAAAGCGACAAATGGATGAAGCAGGCAAAGGTGATCGACGGAAAGAAGATTACTACTACGGACACAGGAATTTACTTCAAGAAGCACAAGTATACATGTTGCTTTGTATAAGCATTATAACGTTGTAACATATAATTATAAGACATTTATGTTTATCTTAATCTAATCTTAGTTATCCTATCTCTATCCAGTAAGCGAAAAATTATTACTGCGATGTTATTACAACGATATTCAATAACATGTAACGTTTCATGTAACGTTTTCAAATATGTAATATTTAATATTGTATACAAGATCATTATGAACAAACTTTGAAACTAATTTGGAGATTTCAATAATGTTGAAGTAGAAGTGTCACAACATTGCAAATAACGTTGCACTAAGGTTTTTCTATTATTTCCATAATATTTTTGAGGTAATATTGATGAAACGATAAAATTTAAACATACTATCAATTATATATTTAAATACCACTTTGGGCTCTGGACCTCTATTCTTGAAATGATTGCATATATGTAAGTGTCGTTGCATAGCTATGTATGATATGATTATATCTGTGTGACACATATGTATATGCGATTATTACAAGAATAGGATTTTCGTATAATGACCTTATTACTTACTGACTGATCAAGGTCGTGTATAGGTTAAGTTCATTTTATACTGAAGGTTATTGAAATTTCGAATTGAATTATTCTCCCTTTTGGTCATTGCATGCTGAAAAAAGATAGAATAGTACTTTTAGTACGAAAATATATAAAATGAACTTAAGAACATGCAGCTGTTAATTATTGCGGCTACGATAATAGGGTTGTACTCCTTATTTAGATTATCACACATACAATTTCTTGAAATAGCGGACAGACAGCGAGATTCGAACAATATGAAAGTAAATTAGAACAATATTAAAAATACAAAAAATAATATTATAATAACAGAAAATTAATATTTTACTAACGTTATTTCTGCATTCAAATTATAAACAATTTTGAACTGTTGTATTGATCTCAAATAAACATTAAAGTTAAAGCAACATTAAACAAAATACGTTTCCCAATGTTTTAAAATATTAAAAAAAATATATTTTTACTACATTCAGAAAAATAATATTATGAAATAACATTTTTAAAATATATATGTAATATTATATTTAAAAAAAACATACAAAAAATACATATGAAATCAACGTTTCTAAACATTTCTTAATTTAATATTTCTTGTTTACTGGATAGTTTATAATCAGAATAATTATTTTCAATGTTGATATCATTTACATATACTCCCTCAAATGAAAATAATAAATTTTTTATTTCTAATAACAGAACCATGAAACTCAATATTGAGCAGTACAAAGCGTTTCTCGAAGAATTGGCTAAAAGTAAAAAAGTAGAATTAGAGGAAATGAAAAAGAAAATGGCCAACTCTGGACCACCTGGAGTAACCGGCATGAGCGGAGTAAGTACAAGAGATTGATGTCCACAAAATTTCTTATTTGCACAAAAAGTAAAAAATTATGAAAAAAGGATAAAAATAAAGTTTATTTTACTATGATTATAAAAAATATATACTTTAATAATGTTATCTTTTGAATCTATTTGAAATAATAAAGTTTATTTGACTTATATAATCTTTAAACTAAAATCTATCGAAACAACCTTCTTTCGAACTTTGGAAACGTAAAATATAATATTCGAATTCAATAGAATTTTATTTTGCGTATTCTCGTTTGCTAAAGTTCTTCTTGTAATGAAGAGTTTTTGAGGAAATTTTTATCTGTCAGCGATTCTTATTCTGTTGTAGCGAATCGTCATTCTGTTTTGTTTCGCTGTTAATTATCTTTTCTAATCACTTATGCAATTGTTTCATAAGTGATTAGAAAAGATAATTAACTATAGATATTCATTGTTGCAGCAACAATTATTAATATATATGCACTACAAATGTTCTGCTTCGACGTAATGTCGGCTGACATTTTTTCCATACATCTCAGTATATATACCATATTTTGATTTGCTTTCTTGTGCCATTTCAATAGAAAACTTCAAAGAAACATGCAGTTTTCAAAAAATGGCTGCGGCTTAAGCTCATCCTCTGTAATCACTAATAAACTCTGATGTCCCCTGAGAGGGGACATCCGAATGGTTCGTTAGACTTGCGATGTCCCCTCAGAAGGGACATCCGAGTACAAAGGGTTAAATAATACATATTTTTGCAAATTTCATTATTTCGCTACCAAAAGTTAACATTCACAAATACCATACACCTTGGATAATGCTAATATCAGTATTTGAATCAATCCATATTTATCAATCCATATTTTGGAAAGTACTTAATCAAAAAATTTTATTGTAGTATTTTAAAAAGATTTCAGTGTCAACTATAAGAATATCAACTATAATAAAAAATGGAAATTTCTATTTAAGACTTTAAAGTTGATCTCGAAATCTTCTTCACTCCTGCGCACAAGGTCTAATGAGTATTACTGTTTGGTACATTTATTGGAACCATATAACTTTTATATGTAATATTTTTTTCTGGAATTCTTTGTTTTCGAAATATTTTAACGATTCAATACTTCTTCCTCACCCTGTATATCTGTATATAAATAACTTTAAATGTTTTAAAAATATAGCTGCTATTAAAATTTGTTTCCGAAATTTATTTAAAGGGCATTCAAATTTATTGATTTTTTAATAGTTTTTAAAAGATTTCTTTAAAAAATTATTTTTATCGGAGAATGTCAGCAACATTTTCATTCATACATGATCGATCTTTTTTCTGAACGAAAATAGTCTTATCTATAATTGCATGATCATATATATTTGATCACGCCGTTATCGTATTTCTTGCGATACAGATATGGCGAACGATGTTTTATTATAATTTACCTGTTGTTTTTTTTTGTATAATTTACAGGCTGGAAAAGCAGCGTCAGCAGTCGATAGATTGACCGATGTCAGCAAATATACAGGCTCTCACAAACAACGTTTCGACGAAACTGGAAAAGGCAAGGGTATATCAGGTCGCAAAGATGTATCGGATCAGTCTGGATACGTCCAAGGCTACCAAAATAAAGATACGTACAGTAAGGCTCATTAACACATATCCGAATAGTTGGACGATAAGTTAATCGAATTGCTCGTCGTAGCGATTTGAATTTTACAGCGGTAATCTGATAGACGTTTCCAAATTTAAAACAATTTATGCCTATTTGAAACGTATCTAGACTATCGATTTTGCTGGAGCACATAATGATATATTCGCGGTATTCTTATTTCCATATAATTTTCATTATTGATATCCATGTTATATTTTCCTCACATCGGCAACTTCTCTGATGCAACGCTTGAATAAAAAATCATTTTTATTAATAACTTATTCGACTAACTTATTTCATTTTGCTATCGCGGTTTATATTACGTTTAAATAGTCACGTTGTTGTTGGAAAGCTATGTATCTGGTGGGATTTCAAAGGTGTGCTGTAGTATGAATTGTTGAATGAAGGAGAAACAGTGACTGCAAATCGATACTAACAATAACTAATGAAACTGAGCGATGATGAGAGAAGAAAAGACCGTCTGGGATCCCGAAAAGTCATATTGTTGTTGCATGACAACGCTCGACCGCATATTTCCAAAGACATGCGAAATATAATCTTCGCTTTAGGTTGGGAAACTCTGCAGCACATGCGTGTTCTCCGGATCTGACACCTACAGATTACCACTTTTTTTGATCGCTCCAATATCACTTAAGTGATACATATTTTAAGAATGTTGAAGATATCCGAAGATGCATAGATAACTTCATCAAGTTGAAATTGCCAAGTTTCTTCAACTGTGGCATTTGGCAATTGCTCGATAGATGAGCTAAGATGGTCGATAATGATGACTACTTTTTGAATTAGTCTTTTTTGTAAATTTTTAAAGAAAGGTTGATTTTTAGAAAATAAGGATAAAAATTAATTTGCACACCTAATACTTTCAGAATCTTCATCATCATTTTCAACATCAGCCTTGTTTCGTCCACTGCTGGACATAGTCTCTTCCAATTTTACTTGGAAGGAATTTGACATTAAAATGCCGCGCTTGTCATTGCGTGGCATTTTAATTTTGGCAAATATTTTTCCTAAAACGTGAAGTTTCACACAGTGGTTACCGACTGTGCGTGGACCAACAGCTTAACGTCTCTTCCAAAGAACGGAGCCCAGTTTCTCATATATGTGTCCAAGGTTTGCAGACAGTTTTGTATTATTCACGATTTTCGCGAAGCGGTTTTAATCTCAGTCATAGCTTCCATAACAAATTAGGAAGCTCAAGAAATATCGATATGAGAGAGCGACACTGTCGTTCAATGTTAGAACTTAAATGTGTCAGTTTCTGTCGGTAAGAGTGGATAATACAATAACAACTGATCCGTAGTGGGTAATTTAGGTTTCTCGAGTTCGGTAAGTTACCAGGGTCGGTAAAATTTCAGGTGTCGGTAAGTTATCAAAATCGATAAGTTTTCGGGGACGGTAAGTTTTTTTATTCTGCATCGCGGAGGCAAAGTGAGATTCCAGGATTCCAATTTTTGGACAAATTCAACTAAGGATGATACTTCATATTTACCCATTACATATGAACTACTGTATTCTCGAAGCAATAGATGTCAATAGATTTGACCTGTGTTTGATTATGAAGGTCGGAATACCTTGTGTGATCTTAAAAATCTGAAGTAGCTTAGCATCAAGAATTGCAAAAATATCGACTACTGGGGCTTAAACGAAATATCAGGAGAGCTTACGGAGTCATTTGACATCTTAAGCTGTGAGAAAATCACTGAGAAAGGATTGGAGGCACTGCATAGAATGTTCAATCAAAAGAAGTTGATTGTTACAAATTGAAACAAATCTGCTGCATCAGAGCTAACTTGTATGATGTTAGAAGATTAAATGTCTGGCTTCACTTGTGAGAATCTGTGGAAATATCAAAAATGTAATGTTAATTGAGAGTCACTTTTGATAACAATTTGCAGTGAATATTTCACAGAAAGACTCACCTCTATTTATATATATTATATACTATTTGAATAATTTCAACTATGCAGTAAATCAACTATCTTACTTGAATATTAAAGTAAATAAAATATTAGGTAGTAAAAAGTAACACAAGTAGGTAGTAAGTTGTTTCAAGATATTAACTTCTTTCCAATTTATTTTAAATTCGACTTTTTTCATAAAATGTAATTCAGCTGAATTTATATACCATGTACCATATTATTTTCATTATTACAAAGAAGTTACATGTTCTAAAGAAGATGATATTTCATTCAAATGTGCTTGCAATTTATTACCTTCGGGACGTTTTCTCTTACAAAAG